ATGAAATACAAGGCTTTGGGGAACAATCTCAGGAACACATTTCAACCCTAAAACAACATAGTCCCCCAAGAGTCAATATGCACCGTGTGGGCATCGACGGCAACGGAATTTCACAACGCGCCAGCTCCATGGTCGTTGGAGGCCATGACAAACATATTAGGGGGTCTTGGTTTACTTTAGATGTCTCCATTAGGAGAAAGCAAAGACCAGCCCCTCTTGGTAATTAGAAAATGGTTGCTGATAATATAGCGAGAGAACCTTATTTACAGACTCTGTTACTTATCACACTTATTCAACAAGTATATATTAGAAACCGGAAGGCATTCGGCTCTCGTAAATGTCCCGCAGAAAATCTGGACAGCGCATCCATCCAATTTTCTTCTTCATGATGCATGGAGTCAACTCCCAACGCTTCATGCTGTATCAGTGTTCTATTGGGCTCCACCCCAGCCCCGTCAGGCTCTTAGTAGTTTCTGTTCAGTACTACATTAAATACATTTAAAAAGCGTTTAAAAGAAGGGTTACACGGCTCTCACAAACATGTGTATCAGTGATTAACAGAAGACATCTCTCCTTTCTGCTAGGTGCTGATATGTCGCTCTTTGCTATGTTCTTCATTCTGTCAGGGACTCACAGGCGAGATGGCATAAAAAGAATTGATTTCAGCAAGTTTTCCATTAAATTCTCCCTTTGGGGCAGCTGCAGATGCTGAGATAGTTGTAGATAATTAAGATTCAGATGCGGTTTTAAGAAATCATACAAAGAGGTCCCATGTTCAATTTACCCAGTTTCTCCGATTTAATATTGACTTAGGTCAAGCTATGGCTGCTTCCTCACCAGAAGAATCTGTCAATACCCACTTACGGTCACGTTCGAATTATGTCCGCCGGTCTCATGCTGTGCTCCTTCCAGAAAAAGCACAGCACTCAAAATGTTACATGAATGGAATTAAATAAAGTGAATGCTCTACATGGCTTTTTTTTAATCACTTAGCATAATTTTCTGCAGATTCCTCAAGCTTCTGCTTGTATTAATAATTAGCTCCTTTATGTTATTGAGTAGTATTCTATGGTATAGATAATTCGCCATTTGTCTTACCAGCCACCAGATTAATGGGCATCTAGTTGATTTCAGAAGAGAGAGAGAGAGAGAGAGAGAGAGAGAGAGAGAGAGAGAGAGATAGATTTGAGACAAGGTCTTTCTATGTAGCCCTGTCTGTCCTGAAACTTGCTATGTAGACCAAACTGGCCTTGATCTCACCAAGATCTGCCTGTCTCTACCTCCCGAGTGCTGGTATTAAAGATGTGTACCGCCATACCCAGCTGATTCCAGTTTTCTAATGTTTCTAATAATTCATGTGGAAGTGTTTTTGTTATTTTTTTGTGTGTGTGCATGTGTGTGTGTGTCCGTGTGTGTGTGTGCGTGTGCGTGCGTGTGTGTGCGTATTATGCAGCAGTGTGCATGAGGAGGTTAGAGGCCAACCTTGTGAAGCCAGTTCTCTCTTTTTACTGTTTTAGGTGGGTTTCAGGAATTGAATTCTGGTCAGCGGAGTTGCCTGGTAAGAGCCTCGCTGAACCATCCTTCTGGTCCTCTATTATGTAAGTCTTTGTGTGAGCATATGTTTTCATTTCTGTGGAATCAATGTCCAGTTTCTGGTTGGTAGACAGTTGCAAGTTTAGTGCTTTAAGGAAACAGTCAAGTGGCTCTCCAGTCCCTGTTCTGTTTGATGTTCCCAGCACAGCATATATCACTATCTGTCTCCTTCATACCCTTCTTGACATCTGTATGTATTCTCAATGCTAGCCCTTGGCCAGATGTGTAGTCTGCAGACATTAGCATATACTCTCAACACTAGCCCTTGGCCAGATGTGTGGTCTGCAGACATTCCGTCACCATCATCTGTCTCTTCATCCTTTTAACAGAGTCCTTTGTACAACCAAACTTTTATACTTTAATAGGTCTAACTTATCAAAATTTCCTGTGATGAGTGCACTATTGCTATCAAGTGCGAAAACACTCTGCTGAGCCCTTGTTCCTTAAGTTTTCTAGTTCTTTCTATTGCATGGTAGTTTCACATTCATGTGCTTACACACATGAGCTCCGCTGACGTAGTTTGTATGTAAGGTCTGAGGTTAGCCCAGGGCTCACTATGGGTGTCCACACGCTCTTTCACAATTGTTAAAGGCTGTCCTCGCATGTTAAACCTCTACCTTTGTAAAAAAAAAATAATAATTCGGCCAGACCGTCATGGCACACGCCTTTAATTCCAGTACTCAGGAGGCAGAGGCAGGTGAATCTCTGTGAGTTCGAGTCCAACCTGATCTACAAGAGCTAGTTCCAAGACAGTCTCCAAAGCTACAGAGAAACCCTGTCTAGAAAAAAAACAAATGAAAAACAAGCAAACAAAAATTCAATGCACCACACTCGATCCATTTCTAGATTCTCTGTTCTGTCCCATGGATCTATGCTCCCATGATTCTATTAAAAACAAAGTGTCGTGAATAGTATTGATATACAATAGATCTTCCTCATTGGGTCGACGAATTTCTCCTACTTGTCCTCTTTTTAAAAGAATTTTAAAAACTATTTCAAAGACTACACACCTTGGAATATGTAACTATCTGTGTGTGTGTGTGTGGTGCTTGGGATTAAACAGGGCTTTGTGCATGCCAGGCAAATGCTATGCCACTGAGCTATACTCCTATTTTACAACACAACTTTTATAGTAAGCTTACATATGTTTACCAAAGTTTTGCTGGGGCTTTCATAGAAACGAATCCAACCCAGAGCCCAGTTAAGAAGAACTGATCTCAACTCTGCCTTGTGTCCTTTAATCCATGAACATGGTGCATCTTCCTTGTTTAAGTCTTTGATTACTTTTGTTAGCACTAAAAATATTTTTTCATCATATAGATTCCACACATAATTTGTTAACTTTATACCCAAAATAATTTAATTTTCTTTGGAGTGACTGTATGCACTTTTAATTTTGTCTATTTCTTAATACATGGAAATTGGATTGAATTTTGTGTGCTGGTCTTGTATCCTAAGACCTTCCTGTGTCCATTTAGTCTTGTTGACATTTTTTTCCCAAAAATTTTATTTATTTATTCTGTATATAATGTTCTGCCTGCACACCGGAGGAGGACATCAGATTTCGTTATAGAAGGTTGTGAGCCACCATGTGGTCGCTGGGAATTGAACTCAGGACCTCTGAAAGAGCAGCCAGTGCACTTATCCTTTGAGTCATCTTCCAACCCTGGCTTATTGACTTCTTAAAAGTGGATTATTTGCAATTTTCTGTGTAGATAATTATGTCATTGAAAATAAGAATGTGTTTTTTTTTCTTTCTTTCCACTTGGTATGCATTCAATTTTTCTTGCCTTATTGCTGTTTCTAAAATTTCTAATTCAGTCCTACACATTTTAATTCAGTGTAAATTCTGTTCCAAGCCTATGAGCTTTCAATATTGTTCTTGCTATCTGGTCTATTTAGATGTCATTTCTTGTAGTTTTGATTTATGGTGTTTCTAAGCGGAACCTGCTCTTCAAAGCTTTGAAGCACCATCCATTAAAAAAAAAAAAAACCTGATCGTACAGGCTAACAAATGAATATCAGTAATTCAGCCTGGGAAACAGTGATACTTCAGGGATTGTTATTTGAGATTGATTTATGGAGTACCTTTAACACGTGCTTGCTCTTCCAGCACGCTTCCCCATCTTGTTCTAAATTGGGAGTAGCAATAATTTTAAACTTGAAATAGAAAACATCTTTAGCAAAGCTACCCTATGACCACACATTAGAAATAATGATTGTTGGGAACTCTTACAAGCTGGATTGAGTCAAATAAAAAAAACTGTGCAGCTTACTAGGTTTCTAGTAAGGAGTACTTAAAAATCTTTTGGCAACAGAAACTTCGCTCGTGTCTTATTTTGTTAAACGAAATTGCTTTGTTTTAATAATGTGTATTATTTTCTACATTAGTGATGAAATTTTAAGTTATATAACATACCCGATCCACTAAAGAGAGTTTCTAGCCTTTATGGAAAGGTAGAAAGCATGAATCCTGTTAGATCTTTTCTAGCCTCGGTGGTGCATGCTTTGGTCCAATCAGGCCTCAGGTAAACACACAGTTTCAGTTTAGTGTCTTCTAAATGCCAGGAACTCTTGTAAATGATTTGTTGAAAAACTTCAAAGTGTGCTCCCTACCCCTGCACTCCTGACACCCCCAGCAGTGACAAGCTACCTCCAGGCAAGTTCATCATTCTCCTTTATAATCACAATCCCAGCTGGACGACTACCTGTGTAAAACTTCATTTTAAAACTGGAAAATATGGAGGTAGCACCCCATTCTTTATGTGCAGTGAATCCGGGAATCTGAGCTGGGGAAACCCACTGGACCTCTCTGAGCCTCAGCCTCCCTGTCTGAAAGGAACACTAAGGATACACATCTTCCTGGGTGGGGCTTAAGTGAGGCGACTTCTGTTGAGGGTCTGGCCCAGGGTTGGGTAGTGAGTAGACCCCAGGGGAGGTCCTTCTCTTGCACATGGCCTTTGCTTTCTCTATTGACTCTCTCCCTTGCCTTCACTACATCATGTGGAAGGGGGCGCTTCTTATTTTGGATGTTGCATCTCATGAGTGGTAGAGGGGCACTTTCTACCAGAAATATTCACAGTGGGGACCTGGAAAACACTATGCCAAGGTTACCCCATTCTCGCTAATGGTCTGCCCATTCAGAACAGGGTTTGTGCAAAGCTTCACCCTCTTCCTCCACCTGCTACACTGCAATGTGGGAAAAAGGCTCCCCAAGTGACCTAGAAAATGCATCGGCAATTCTGTGACATCTAGTGAGTAACCTTCAGATGGAAAACCTTCCACCTTGCCTTGAACCCACAGCAACTCAATGTGGTGCACATTCAGCTCTTTGAATGCAATGAGCTTCCATCCAAAGCATCGCTTTCGGATAGTAAGTAACACTATGTTCTCATGATACAAGGCAATAACGTGGTACATACGATCATTAATTTTTTTTGAAAGAAAGGAACAGCAACTACCTCTTCCCTTTTGACCACCATGATTTCCAAATGGGTGTGTCTGGATTGAGTACAGCAGAAACAAAAATCTTTCTATGTGAAGTGCCCGTACGAACGGTGGATCCACAAAGGACCACTCCAGTGTATCTGAAGTCTAGCCCAAGGTTCCCTGTTCATCCTCTCTGATTCTGCTGCAGGATGACAGGGCGGCTAGGCACCCTTCAACAAAGAGACAGCAGTCGGTGACTGTCTGGCTTCTTCACTTCAAAGGTCTTCGCTTTAATGCAAAGCCTAGGACTTTTGTGTTACCGTCAGGCCTTTCTTGGAGCTGCTTTGAAGTATTCCTCCCTTGGGATGTCGGCTACACCCCCATACCACTTCTGAAGCCAGATGTGTTCTACCCACATCTTCATGAAGAACCATTCATACTGTCGGGGCCACTTTCTCATCCCTGGATGCCTGCAGAAGCAGAGGGAGAAGAACGTAGTGAAACAGTGCATCTCAGCCAGTCCCAGGGATCTCCCCCCTCTAGGCCTGGTTTGGGCTCAACACCCCCCAAAATGTAGACACTGATGGGTTGGGGAGCAGGGGCTGGGGGAGCCTTAGGAAGGCAGGAAGCTATGGTCTCTATACAGAGGGCTAAGAGCTCTATTCTGGAGCCAGGTTCTGAGGTGTGAATCCCAGTTCCATAGCGGATGAGTTCAGATGCTGATGCTGCGTCTATGGCTGTCTCCTCACCTGTCGTGTGGGTGAAGGTGATGATGCTCATCACAGGGCTGTATGGGGAGTGAGAAGGAAGTGCATAGCTCCCTAGCATTCAGTCCTAGCCAGTGCTCAGTGATGGCTGATGATTGCCAGTGGGAAGCATCAAGAAAGACCCTGTGTGTTTCTGTATGAAAAGTAACAGAATGGCAAGCCCGTGAATGCATCTCCTCCTGGAGAGATTTCCAATTCTGAAGGAAGCTGAGAGCCAGGCAGCGTGGACAGGGAGCTCTGTCTTCCTGTTGCTATACTGACACCTGCCTCCCAAATGCATGAGAATATCTTTGGAGGCAGGGGCTATAGTTGGTCTTTTTTTTTTTCTTTGCAATTTTATAAAAATTTTCTTCACATCTCAAGATATTGTAAACCTAAGTCAGGACCAATAGCAAACTAGAAGGACACCTGTAACGAAACAAACGCCACCATGGTCTTGATAGAGATGTCCGAGCATGTCTGTGGCACCGGTGGGGCTAGGAAGGCTCAGTTGCTTTCATGGCAAGGCATACGTGGTGGCTGGTTTTATTGCCAGTTTGAAAAGAGCCAGGGTCATCTGGGAAGAGGAAACTTCCATGGAGAAAAATGCCTCCCTCAGATTGGCCTAAGGGCAATTTCTTAATTAATGATTGATGCAGAAAGACCCAGCCCACTGTGGGTGGTGCCATCCCTATGCAGGTTGGTCCTGGGGAGTATAAAAGCCAACGGAGCAAGCCAGGAGGAGCGGGCCAGTAAACACCATTCCTTCACCATCTCTAACATCCACTTATTCTTGCCTATATTGGGACAAACAGTTTTTTTTCTGTATTTTTTTTATGATAAAGTCTCACTATGTAGCTTAGGCTAGCCTGGGATTCACTCACTATGCAGTCCGGACTGGCTTAAAATTCTGAATCTTTCTGCCTTCCAAATGCCAGACATGCACCACCGTGCTTGGCTTCAGGGAGACCAATTTTAAAGCACCTCCATAGCCGGGCGGTGGTGGTGCATGCCTTTAATCCCAGCACTCGGGAGTCAGAGGCAGGCGGATCTCTGGGAGTTCGAGGCCAGCCTGGTCTACAAGAGCTAGTTCCGGGACAGGCACCAAAGCTACAGAGAAACCCTGTCTCGAAAAACCAAAATAAAATAAAGCACCTCCATACCTTGAAAACATGGCTTGCTTGGCAAACTCTAACTCTCCTGGCAGTACTGTGATCATCCGGCCAATGAGTGTTAATCGGGCACATCGAGGGTCTTCTGGGTCGACGATGTTTTTTCTGCAGAGGAAGAACATCTTTTATATTTTCAGACAATGGTGACACCAGAGCCTGAAATACCAAGGATTTTTATCAAACATTTAAAATTGTCACATTGCTGATTGTACCACTGCAGATTTTTATATTGTCTGTAACCCCTGTAACATATTTTTTCATAGGTAATGTGCACTTTTGTGCATATGTTAGACACAACCAGGGTTGTTGTAGATAGCTGAAGTACTCCAGTCTTGGGTCCACATGCCATGGGAATGGCAGTTTGTCATTGTTACTGTGGTAGCTTGGTCTTTGTGTTAAGGACTTGGTTACCAGCTTTGCAATACTGGGAAAAGATGGTGACATTGATATGGGGAGGGGAGGGTAGCTGACATTGTGTCGTGATGGTGATATTGAGATGGGGAGGGGAGGGGACCTGACGTTGTGTGGTGATGTATGGTGGTGATGGTGACATCGAGATGGGGGGGGAGCTGACGTTGCCTGGTGATGGTGACATCAGGATAGGGAGGGGAGGGGACCTGACGTTGTGTGGTGATGTATGGTGGTGATGGTGACATGGAAATGGGGGGGGGATCTGATGTTGCATGCTGATGTCCCCATTCACTTGTTATCCGACAGCTCAAAATGTGTCTCAGACAACCCACTATCAGAAATTTCCTGACTGTATCTGAGGCTGGGGCTCAGTTCCATTCTCACCGCTTGAGATAACCTACTTGAACTGCTGTCTGTCCATCTGTCCACCTATTCTGACCGTGTTTGGAGATTTTCCTCCATTTTTCTGTCTCTGCAGTTGACTCAATCAACATCATGTCCCCTTGGGCCAGCTCACATGGGAGACCTGCAGTTTTGTGTCTCCAGCAACACTTTGATGGATGCCTTTTTTTTTTAAAAAAATATTAATTATGTATACAGTGTTCTGCCTGCATGTATCCCTGCAGGCCAAGAGATGGTGCCAGATCTTATTCCAGATGGTTAAGCCACCATGTGGTTGCTGGGAATTGAACTCAGGACCTCTGGAAGAACAATCAGTGCTTCTAACCTCTGAACCATCAGCCCCCTTGATGGCTGTCTTTTATACTTTTATTTATGTGTGCAAGTGTTTTGCCTGCATGATATCTATGCACCAGGTACATACCTGGTGCTCAAGGAAACCAGAAGAGGGCATTGGATTGCTTAGAATTGGAGTTGCAGATGTTTATGAGCCACTCTGTGGGTGCTGTGAACCAAACCTGGGTCTCCTGGAGGAACAGTCAGTGCTCTTAACCATTGTGCCATCTCTCTGGCTCTCTTTCACAGGTTTCTCAATATCTTACTGATTGACTGCAGTGATCCTGTATCTTCCTGGGAGGCTGCTTTAACCCTTTGCTGGCCATTCCGTAACCCACATATATTTCCTCATGCATACAGATAAATGTACTCACCGTTTGACACAGAAAGCAGGACCTGAGGCTTTCTAAATGAGCCTGGAATAAATGAACCTGTGCTTGCCAATCGCCAGTTATCAAGGGAAATTGGGATTGCTTGGGAAACTGCAGCCCAGGAAGAGAAGGCAACTTGCTGTTTATTGTTATTGAATAACTTCTGACATTGTGAAAAGATACAGGTATGTCCATCCATGTCCTGGTAGAGCATCTTCATGGTGCATTGTTCCCATTGTGACACCTGGTCTCCCAAATGAGCCATAAGACCCTAAGGTAGCATCTCAGCTTTCTATTGGTTTTCTGTGTCAGAGATGGCCATAAAGAAATTCTCAGCTTGTGGTAAAATATAAGATAATAGAAATGGCTTAATTTAAGATGTAAGAGTTAGTTAATAAGAAGCCTGAGCTAATAGGCCAAAGAGTATATAATTAATCCTAAGCCTCAGAGTGGTTATTTCATAAGTGGCTTTGGAAACAGGTAGGCAGAAAAGAAAACAGTCCAGGGGGACCAGCGGGACGGAGAATACTTCTAGGTACATCTATATGCTTCACCTTCTGGAGTTTTCATCAGGTACCAAAATTATGTTGTCAGCTGGGGACCGAATTTTCACACATGAGTCCATGGGGAGTATTTTATATCTAAACCATGCCTTCTGTCTGGGCCCCAAAGACTCACAGTTATCTTTTGATAGCAATATACATTTAGTCCATCTCCACTATTCCCCCAAAATCTGAACGGTTCTAGCAGGGCTTAAAAGTTCAAACCCAAAGTTTCTTCTAAGACTCCAGACAAACAGAGCGGCAAGCCTCTATACATTCAAATGGCCAGTTACATACTTACAATGCACCATGGCACAAAGTAAACATTCCTGCTTCAAACAGGAAGAGTCAGGGAACAGAAAGGAAGGGGTGTAAGGAAGGTAAAACCAAAAACCAGCAAGGTAAACACTACATCCTGCAGGTCCACCTCCAGCTCCTAGGTGTGCGGTGGTGTGATGTCAGGTCCACTCTGCTGGTTTACCCTTCGCAGCCCTCTAGGCTGCTCTTCCTATGGCTCCCTTTGCTGCCTGTCGTTTTCCACAACAGCTCTTTCACCCTCGGGGTTCCAACATCCACAGTGTCTATTGCACTTAGGGTCATGCTCAGGGCTTTATTCATGGGGCTTTCTGGGGTTGCTGGAAGAGAGTCCAGCCCCACGGTATATTTTCTGGCCTTTTACGCTTTCCTTGGAAACCTGGGTGTAAGCTTCCATGACTCCATCATTTTTGCATTTTGCATTAATGCAAAAATCAGGATGCCCACAGACAATGCCAAGTTCTACTATTAGATTAGCAGTAGACAGTTCTTGGACCCCATCTTGGTGGTCTGAGTGCCTATGTAGTTGCAGAGCGAAAGGAATTCTGGGAAAACAGCTTCCTGTGAGGCCCTCTGTGAGCAGTAAGCCCCAGAGCCCTCTTCGCCAAGCCAAGTCTTCTGAGCAAGTTTATTCTTTCACATCTTTAGGCCCAAAATGGGTGCCATTCGCCCAATTCTCCAGATGCCCTCAGAACATCTTTTGCTGTTGTTCTGGTGTAAAGTAATTAGTTTCTTTTTTTCTTGGCGTTAATCTGTTCTGTAATGCTGCCTCCCTTACACCCAAACTTGGAAAACACTTCTTTACTTGTCTAAGCAGAAAATTTTCAAATATTTCTGATCTTTCTTTTTGCTCTCAAATCTCATTATAAATCATTATAAAAAAATCCAGAGAAACCCACTACACAGTTGAATGCTGAAAAACCTCCCCCAAAGTGTCAGGGAATAGATACAACAGAGTCCAGAACTTTGTCACAAGGTAACACAGTCTCCAGTCAATTCTCAGTAGAGTACTTGCTCCCGCCCGAAGTCAAAAGTATACAGTTTTGCTGATGCATCCTAGTCAGCCAAAATCACCCACTTGATTCTGCCCGTGGTGTTCTCTGGCTTCTCTGTACTGTGCTTCCAGCTAGCAAACCAGCTCCAAGAGCTCCTAAACCACTGATCAGGCTTTACCACAGGTTTTCACCGAGCAAAACCAATTTAAAGGAGGGTGGATTTGCTTTGTCTCCGGCTTCAGAGGCTATAACCCACTGTTCCTACTTCTATCACTGTGGATCCAAAGGGAAGCTGGAGATCATGGCAGGGAGCTTCTGATGGAGCAAGCAAGCTCACCATAAGACGGACAAGAGGCAGAGAGGACCAGGAGGAGAAGGCAGGGACAAGGTCCATCTTTCCAGGCCTTGACCCCAGTGACCAACTTGCTCCAGCCAGGCACACCTCCTGAACTTTCCTTCTCATTCCAAAGCAGTGAAACCTTCTGGGGCCCCAGCCTTTACCCATGTGGAGGATACTTCCCACCCAGACAATAATATATATGCAAAGCACAGGCTTGCCCTTTAAACACATAGAGTGCTGGAGATTGATGTATCCACAGACTTGTACCCCAGTCTAACTGTACATCACATATGTAGCATGTGTGAGTCAGACTGGGTGATGAATGTCAGCATCGCATGGGATGGCAAAATTCCAACAGTTGGCATCACTATAAAAAAAAGGGCAGCGAGGCTAGAGGCCTTTCTCTGCCAGATAGTGAGCTCTGCAGAAGTCATCTATTAAAGTAGCTCGTGGGCTTTGGTATGAGAACAAAGGATAGACAAGAAGGCCTAGAAACAGACCTTTTATTTAGGAGACCAGATATTTAACAAAGACTGAAACATAAACTAGCAGGTAATGTTTTATTTTCTAATAATTGGTGCCAAAAAGTTGGCTAGATAGAAAAACAAAAACCTTTAAAAATAAATCGTAATGAGCCGGTCATAGTGGCCCATGCCTTTAATCCCAGCACTCAGGAGATGGAGGCAGGTGGAACTCTGCGGGTTTTAGGTCAGTCTGGTCTACAGAGTGAGCGGAGCTCAGCTAGTGTTAAGTGGTGAGATCCTCCTCTCCGCAAATCCTCATGTCCCTCTGCACACAATTCAGTTCTAAACAGAATTGGGAAGCAGATCTTTACTGCATTTGAGATGAAATATGGGAACTATATTATGCTTGTAGCTTTAAATTGGAAAGGATTTCTTAAATAAGACAGGATGAATAGATCATATAGATTGAGTAGATTTCTTAAAATATCAATTTTGGGTCTGAGGGAATGGCTTAGTGGGTAGGAGACTTTGTTGTGCAAGTGAGAGGACCTGAATTCAGATCCCAGCATCCATGTAAAAGCTGGGCATGGTCCTGCATGCCTGTAGGTCCAGCACTGGATGGCAGACACAGGTGCATCCGAGGAGATGCCTGACCAGTCAACCCAACTAAAACGGTGTGCTTCAGGGTCAGCAAGAGACCCCACCTCACAAGAGAAGGTGGAGAGCAACAGACTCTACTGAATAGAGGAAGACAAGCCTTGTTCTTCTCGGGCCTCTGAATAAACATGCAGGATCTGTTCAAGACCTCCTGAAGATGGACCTTTCTCAGATTATGCAGGGTTTGAACAGCCCAAGCCAGCTAAATTACTCCTCTCCTGACAGCACTGTCGCTGTTCTTGGTGTATTTCTACATCAATTGGACATTGTGAGGA